TTTAATAATCTGCAAAATGAATCAAATTCAAACATTTTTAACAACCTACTAATATATATATATATATATATATATATATATATATATTAGTAGGTTGTTAAAAATGTTTGAATTTGATTCATTTTGCAGATTATTAAATAAAATGCGACAACATTAATTTCATTTCGATGAGATCTTCGATAGAAGCACCAACATGAGAAATGCATGCAGAAAGAACAAACGGAACACAATCTGAAATCGAAATATACAAGAATAATAGACGGAGAGAGCAATAAAAGGAAAATAATAACTTAAGAAATAAAAGGAGAGAAAGGAAAGGAATAAAATGTGGGAAATAAAAGATCATTTAAATGTGGAAATATAATTCGAAAATATACAAAAGACAAATATCGACAAGTTATCTGAAAACTTAAGACTTGAAAGTTAGATTCACTGAAAAACAATAGCACGAACTGCGATCAATACATCCCCAAAAGCCACTCTAATCTGAATAATCAAACAAAATAACAGCTAATTCGTATTAAAAGCGCATAAAACCGAAAAGCAAAGTGAATGAATATCGCCGCTGTTGTTGATTTGATGTGCTCGTTATAATGTAGTGCCGCTATGATCTCAACCATCAATCCCCATCCAAAAATATTTTCTTCTCTTCTCGTTCTTATCCTTACCACACTTTTCATAACACATCCTCCCTCGTTCCGTACTGATTACTTTAAAATTACTTCCCTTCTATTGATTACTTTAAGATCACTTATTCATCCCATTCACTTTAATAACCTCTTGTCTTTTCCTTCTACTATCTACAAAAGCATCTTTAGATTTTGAACGTCATTTCAACCTCGGTAAATCTAATAGGCGTTATTCAGTGCCATGAACCTAACGTGAAACAAAGATCCCGAAAACGGAGGAATTCAGTTCGTAAGGGTCCGTTCGTAGTGGGTCAGATCTTAAAATGTCAATAGAAATAGAAAACACTTCTCTGAAACAGTAAAGAGCTTTTGAAAAGTGCAATCTTTACATTCAAATTGCAGCAACTATTCATCAGAGCAATATTCCTTGAACAGCTGAAACAATTTCAGTGCTACAAAATGGACGCGGAATTTTTTCTATTTGCAAGCTGTAACGAAATGAATTAAGTGGAAAAAGATCAGGCAAAAACTGCCTTTCAAATACAAATCCTTTCATTCTTCGATAGTAATCCAACTTCTTTGAGGAAGCGTCCTTTAAAGGTTTCACTTCAAACGCTAACGTTTTTTACTACATGATAGAAGTATTTTGAGGCAATTCCACGCTTTCTGCGACTCCACTAGAAGAAGAAAAGTGGTTCGTCGAAAATGCTCGAGGATAGCCGAATTGTTAAGCTCGAGAAAGGAGCCAACTTTTCGAATTCAATTGCTCTACAGTTGGCTCACAAGACACTTTCGCGCTTCAATGCTTTTGCACGCAAAATTCGATTAATAGACGTCATTTCAATGTTTAATGCTAGCCATCTGTTCGATTACGCTGAATAATGAGAAAATGGAACAAACGCTTGAGGAAACAAACCAACACAGCACCAGAAATCAACACGTCATGAGCGAACTCAATAATAAAGATATTTCGAGGCAATAACTGCAAATAAAAAGTGAATAAAAATTGATAAAACAACTTCCCTCATAACTTCTTGTGATGAGCAAAAATGCATAAAACCACAACGCATATGCAAAAATTATTTTCTCACAGAAACAGTTATAATCATCTAAACGTTACATGGGACATGAAAAACAGTTGCAACATACAGTTATTATGAGTTTTCTAATTAATATCTCTTACAGAAATTTCGTTTATTGTCAGGTTTATTCACAACCGCTTCTGGAATCATCAAATTTGATCACATTAAGTATGCATGTAGGACGGGTATTCATATAGAGTTTTTAAAAGCCAACTTATAAGAATTGAATAGTAACCAGAAATAATTATTTTGAGGCACGTTCCTAAACACCTGTAGTTGTTAGGCACCCATATGAATTCATAAACAGAAATCAGTGGAATATCATAAATGAGATTCGATTGGTAGCATTAAGGGAGGTAGGTCTATCGGTCTGTATGTCTCATTAAAGGATCGCCGACGAGTTGATGAGGGTTAAGATCAAACTGCAAAAAGCGCGTCCCTGATGAGGCGGTGTTTCTGTGAAGTGAATAACCGCATGCAGTGCAATGTGGCCTTTGATGAGTACGCTTCTTACACTCTCTTCTGAATGATATCAAATTCATTCATTATTTTCATCATATAATTTTTCATCTGCATGAGATTTTTCAAGACTATAAAAGTTACAACATATCTCGAATATTTTCTTCAGTGAACGCAAACCACTGTCGTTTGACTGCTTCAGACTGCACTCAGCCAGAGATGCGTTCTTTTCTGCCCTCATCACATGGACGCCCAAAAAGAACTTCGGTATATGATAACTTAACAAACATATCACTAGCGTTGTTGTTGATTTGCGAACACACGCCATTCTTACGCATAAAATCAGTTCATCACGAGTTTATTGAATCAAGAGAGTAAGCCCAACAGTCTACAATTAGGCAACAATTTTCCAGTCAATTCTCAGTAACAAATTCGATTCTGAACGGAAATGTTCTTGGAGGGAGAAGATCAAATAAATATTCGTTGCCGTAGAAAAAAATTGTCACAAATAAAGAAATACTTTTTTTCAGTACACATTCATGGACCAATACTCTTAGCACAACTTAATTTTACCGATTCACTTTCCTACTTTCTAGTAGACACACAGCGTTTTTGCATTGTTTTTATTGTTGTAGATTTTTTCAATTTATTTATTCTTATTCTATTGGTTTCACTTATTTTCATTCTTATTTGTGTTCCACTGCTACGTTTTCAAGCTCTCTATTTTCTTTATTATTTTCCAGTTTTAAGGTTTTCGGAAAATGAAGTTGAAAAGCTATCATTATTCAAAAAACAATAATCAATCAACTTAAAACCTTGACATCGGTAAGAAAAGTGATAACCATAGTATTAACCGTAAAATAGATGATGAACTTATTACGCTCAAATTCCAGCGCATTTCATCTCATCAGTATGAACAAAATGCAGCTTGAAAGAGGAAGAATATTGAAAACAAAATAATATTTCGATGACTCATCCACTATCATGTGCAGAAAAAATACTGTCAACTATAACAGATTGATTACCAGAAAACTTTCTCAACGCGTCACCCAAAACGATTATTTTTGTTTGCAGAAAACAGTCGCCATGTACCATAAAGAAACTGATGCGACGAGGGGATGAATACTCATCGAAAACATTTCTTCTCTGCGAAGAACCTCAACTGTATAGCAAACAATTAAATCATTTTTAAATAGAAAATTCATCTGAATAATTATTGGCCATTTTCTTTGACGATCTCATTCAAATAACAACTGCTCACAGAGTTGATATTGTAGTCGCAAATGCTTCATGTGTTGAACATACATGAGGATTACTGGATGTAAGGCCGAATGTAAGCGTATTTCTTTTGTTTTCTTGCCTTACATTAATGATTTGATTGTTTGTTCAACACGTTCATCTCTTATTCGTACTCAGGAATTATGACTTATGGAATCCCGATCGAATACTGTCTCGATGCTGCATACTTCACAGCAGTTGTTGCTGCTCTGAATGAATAATGTCTTATGGATTTTCCAACACTCCATGTGCTTCCATCAGATTTGTGTACATAAAAGCGTTTTCAAGATATAATTTATTGAGCATTCACTTTATTCTTGTTAATATTTCTCAGTCGAATTATTTCTCTACCGTAAATCACATTCTTGCTAAATACCAAATGTTTTTATATACATATAAGCATCAGGTTTTGCTAAAGAAAACAATTTACACTGAACATTTACACTGATCGGATCCACTGGAAGTTCGTGTCCTCGAATTCATTCGTCTATCGAGTAGGGAAGTGATTCGTTATCATATCTTTGAATACTTTCGTTCATTCATTTCATGTTCGCTGATTTGAATGGACAATTCATTCATGATAAAACTGCTTATTTATCACCATAAAAACTGATTCATACAGTCAGAGGTATAACGTATGTGAAAAAAAGATTGTTCGAATTCGAACAGTCACTCACAATCTCATTGAGAACGAATTTTTTATCAACACTTATTGAACCGCTGTAAGAAAACTGTTCCTGAAACCATTTCTGTCATGCTCTTTCTCTCCGATTCGTCTCTATCACATCTTGATTTCTTATGACCACATTGTTTCATCATTATTTTGTTGACGAACATTTAGCTCATTCATGAATTACATTCTTTTCGTTTATTTTCTTATAAGGGGTGACAACTTTCAGTTGATGTACAGTTCTAGGCAATGTTCAATAGGGATGAATTTTTATTCAGTTCATTACTACGGTTAACGGTAACATCATCGCTTTGATGGTTCAGTTTGCTTCCTTTTTATAATTTTACACATATAAACTTTTTATAATTTTACACATATATAAACTCCTTTTATAATATAACTTTTTATAATTTTACACATATATAAACTCCTTTTATAATATAACGTTTTATAATCTTACCTTAACAATGAAACTGCTTATAATTGAAAGCGATCCAGTTTTAACTAAAAAGTTCGATGAAATGCTCTTGCCTTCATCAGCATGATTTGCGTATGAAAATATTTAAATGTATATTTGATGGCAGTCACTTCTTGTCGCAGTTGAATTGACATTCGAAATGCGTAAAGTTTAAACGGACAGATACTTTCACTATAATTCTTTCGAACAATTTTTGTTTAGATTTCCGCGTTTTTGGTTGTCATTGAATGGTGACTTCATTCGAGAAGAGTGGTTATATCAGGAAGTGGCAGGGAGGAACTCGATTTGGAAAGGTTCATATCGGAGGAAGGCTTTATTTAGTAGTATACGGTATTTGTGATGGCATTCAGCCGCTAAAAGGGATAGTAATGATATTATGTAGAAACGACTAATGAAAAGGACAAATTGAGAAGAAGGACGCATTGTTAGAGGCAAAGAGCAAAAGTTGTTTGCATGCGTGAAAGTGAATGTGATCGTTGACATTTACGTATGAGGAAAGGAGACAAACCAAATCGCTGAATCACAATTGGGGTCAATGTTATTATTGCTGAATAAATTCATTTGTGTCTACATATATTTATTCATATTCAAGAACATATACATTTATTACTGTCATTCATTTGAATATTCGTGTATTCATCCTTTTATTGCAGTATCCATTCTAACTCACAACCAAATAATGAGCTTCAAATGTCGAAATAGATCTTCAATGCTACGTGACGATGTGCTTCGTAGAAAATCGATCAATAAGTGGCATTTACCGAAGTAAATGGTTATCGAAATAATAGAATTATCTGAAAAATATGAATTGCTGAATTAATTCGAAGCGGTACTATCATCGCTTGAGTTTTACTCACTATGGAAATGAATAAGCAAATAAATGAACAAACAAATGATAATGATGATGAGAAAGTTAGGAATGAGAAAGGGAAACGCCGACACAATACGGGCATTGTGCTTTCGGTAATGAGTCGCTGTTAGCCGCTGTTGCCGTCTGTCTTCGTACGATCAACGACCTTCACCATACAGCCAACCCTAACGGGTTCAAGCTTATGGCCAATAAGAATGGTTGACCTTCGTCGGTGTATTTCTTCATCGTCACATACGTCCAAAAGAATACATACACCCATAATCATCAATCTTTTCAAACATCCTTCTTCTTTTCTCACTTTTCCATCTCAGATCAATCACTCCCCATATGCACCTCTCGTGTTCGGCTCCTCAAATAACGCAATCCCCAAAATCAAAACCAGTGTATCGCTTCCACTAGTGCTAATGCTTTTATCCCATCAATTGTTTTTTAACAACAACTAATCCTCACTCAGTGAATAATAATTGAAGTTAAGTGCTTGTTGTCGTCAGTCCACTGGATCACTACGTCCTTCTCATATCAGCAATCATGAATCTGGGACAACTTCTTTCGAATCAGTTGTGCACCTCACCGGTACTATATCGACCTACACCAATCCATCCAGTCATTCAGTCCAACAATTCGTATTATCGTGCTGCTGAGAGCACAGATTTGCCACTTGATCTCAGCCAGTCATCGACTGTTGCTCATGATACCCCTCAGCAACCCTCATTTCTGCCCACTTGTACCAATCCGAACATCAACTCCAATTGGATCGCCATCAAGTTTGGTGCTTCGGCGACTGGTCCAAATCGAATGTCATATCCACGTGAATTTAAACTGATGGTTATAAATTATTATTATGCGAATGGTCAAAATAAGTATCGAACTTGCAAAGAATTTCAAATCACAAAGTCAATGTTGAATGGATGGCTGCAGAAAGTTGATAAAATACGGCAATCACGTCCCGGTTCGCTGAAGTCGGGTCGAAGTGGACGAAAGCCACAATTTCCGGATATTGAAAAACAACTCTTCGCATTATATTCAACGCATTTGGGCAGTGGTCAGAAGGTCGGTAACCGTTGGATTCGTGAAACAGCTAAAAATCTTGCACAGCAGCAGTGCTCAAAGCAACAATTAGGTGGCATGTGCCAGTTCAGTGAACGGTGGCTGAGCAACTTCAAGAAACGATATCATATTAATTTGAATCGCGATTGGTCTTCATCAGCTTCAAGTAGTTTTGGTTCAGGAGAATCAATTGGCTCAGCATCGAGCACAACTGGCGATTGTGGGCGTCGATCACCTGGAAAGAATGAAGAAGGTATTGATGAAGGCAATAATATCAGTGATACAGATGATTACAGATCCGATTCAGAAAGCGTTACAAGTGAAAATTCCGAGAGAACTGTTAACAGTGAACAATATCAATGTTCATCAATTACCAATGATCAAAAGCAAGTTAATGAGATCCTCAATAAACCAGGACAGTTGCCTATTCATGCATTTTATGAACGTTTTCCTTGGTTATGTCGCAGAAATAATGCTGGCACTGAGCCGGGTAGACGTGGTCGTAAAGTACAGTTTCCGGATGTTGAAAAAGTTCTTTTTGAACGACTCCGAAAGCGCCAGTCGAATGGTGATCGCATATCAAATCGTTGGCTTCAGGAGCAAGCTCGTCAGTTGGCCACACAATTGTGTCCGAATGTTCTTGAGGAGGCAACCAAATCAGCTCGTTGTCTTTTCTCAGAACATTGGCTGCACAACTTCAAAAAACGCTACGGAGTAAGTCTGAAACAATCAAACAGTTATTCATTCAAAAGTAACTCTTCATTCGATAACAATGAAAATAATGGCAATCCTAATCAAAATAACAGTAACGATTCCGGCATTGCTAACAACAGCGATGATTTTAATCTTTCTACGAGTGACACGTATCGGACTGATAATAGAAATGATAGCTTACATGAAAGCATTGAATCACTCAGATCAAACGAATCACCAATGACATCAGTGCAACAGACAAAATCACATGTCGAAACAAAAAGAAAATACGAAATCCGTTCAACTATGGAGTTATCAGACAGCAGCAATTCATTACCGACAATTCAAACCAACACGAATAATTTATCTGATATTATCAACCTTCAAAATTGGTTCATCAGTCACTCTTATTCATCAACAACACCTTCTTTTACGCCAGTCAATACCCAGTCTTCACCAATAATTGTGTGGCATCAAACGAATTCTGCTTGATTGTAACACATTCCCAAATTAGCAAATTTATTTTCATATCTTCACCTCCCATATAAGCGAGGCGTTCGTTGTTCGTTCCATTAAAAATTTGGGTGGATTATTTTAAATGGTTTTGAATTGGAGTTGTCAATGGTGTTCATTGCTTTCTATCAAATATTTCAATCGCTTTGGAGTTTCTGTAAAGTTGTGATATATTGAAAAAATAAGCAGACAGAAATATCTCATAAGAAATCAACCATGAAATCAATCTATCTCAGGCACTTTTTCGGTAATCGATCTCTCAGATATCACTTCCGCTTCTTACAATACCATTGCAAATGTTTGTGAGCGAGTGAATGCAACCTCAAACCCTCTAAGTCAATGCACTTGTTGCAGATACGTTGATCAAATGTATTGCTTACACTTAACGTCCATTTTGAAAATCGTACGGATAAACTTATTTGCAAAAGTTTTACTTATTTCAAGCGTCTAATCTCCTATGTATGCGGCCGATGTATATTTCTCTTGTAATTATTCCAGTTTTAAGAAGAACTAAATGTGTTCCTTCTGAAAGCGGGTATTTAACTATAATACTTTGTCGTTTCTATCTTTTCCTTTCTCATCGATTTCGTTTGATTTAGATTGTGTGGAAAATTCGGGTGTCTTGGCATTGCAATGATTAATCGATTTCAGTTCAATGAAATGAGGCGTTTGAAAGTTCAGCGAAAAATATTAAGTGTTAATACACAAACGTGTGCATTGCTTTCTGATTCATTCAGATTTTAATAATTCACTTTAAAGTTTACAAGAGGAAAGTGCGAAGTTTTGATTCGTTAACGACCTGAAAGCTGAACGGCATAATATTATAGTTTGAATATTTTCTGATCCACTGATATTTATGGATAAGTTTGATGTGTTTATCAAGATATGTTATTTTGCTTGTTCGCATATGTGATAAGTTCAGCCAAAAAGCGTTATTCTTCGTACGCGTTCCTTATTCTCAGATCCTTTCATGATTGCTTATTTAAACATCCAGGCTCAAATCCATTTGTAATGATACATGCGTTTTTAAGCATAAATTTGCTTCCTGTGCATCAAACGAATACATCCAGTGTATGCGCTTTTCAAGTTTGAAGTGATCAATTGATTGGGGAGCTTTCGTATTCAGCCGTATATTTGATTTTGTGGCTGAAGAAGTATGACAGTTTCAATCAAAAGACACTCGATTGCCATTCAACAAATAACTGAAAATAGTGATTGAGCACAGATATAGAATGGTGCAGACCACTGTCAAGTGTCAACGAATGAATTTATAAGCACAAATTATCGAGTTGCATGCATTCGAATATTGTAAGATGATGGTATTTACATTTTTGGATTGCGTTTACTTTGCTGTGATTTTCATGATAATATTATATTATGGTTGATGATACTTTTTTAGATCGCTATATTGCTATTGAACATTGTTTTTCTTTTGATCCCTGTGAATCAGTGTGATATTTTATACATCTCGTCGGAGTTATTTATTAGTTGTTATTTGTTTTGAAAGTCGAAAAGGAAATTGTACAGAGTTATTCTAAATGTTAATATAATGAAATAAATACACACGAATAATAAAAGATATTTATCAAGAATGCTTCACGTGTTTTACTGATTTTAGTTTCGTTGAAGTATTGACAAAAAACGACTCTTGAAGCGGTATCATAGCGGTACCTTGTCAGATACAAACCAACTTTCACTTCACTGAAAGAAATCGTTTGATCAATAAACGGTTGATGAAGGGCATACTGTGTTGCTGTTGTAATGACATTGATTATAAAAAACTGACTTGCAACAATAATTTAATTCCAAACAAAGGTATATTCAACATGTCGTCATATTTATTCAAACGTAAATCTCCTTGCCGAATGTTGCAGTGTTATCAGTGTTTGATACTACCTTTGCAAAGCATTCCAAATGCTCACTCAAACAAATATTCGTCGAAATATCAGTGCACTGATGGATTTCAGCCTATTTAAACCACATAAGAACGGTTGCGAATCATGCAGCAATAGTTGATCGAAACAATCTAACTGAATTGCTTGGTGGGAATTTCTTTCGAAGCACATTGAAAATACTGTTATTGTTTCGATCACTCGCTATTCAGTATTGAAATTATTTCTAATTAGGAGTGCTAAATATTGTTACAACGAATGTGTTACTGAAATGCTCTCAATGTTGCTTCTCTGTGTCATTTTCTTTATCTTCCTTAGAATAGAGTCAACAATGAATTAGATTTAGTTGGTGATTCAGGATAAATTCAACCGCAGAATTGATATTCAACGTCAAAACTAACCACTTCCTTTACTAAACCCAAAAAACATTCTTTCTCTTTTCTGTGTAGTCATATAAATGATTGAAATTGAAAGTGTGTACTGTGACTGTTGAATAGAACAAACTGTAATTCATTCGAAAAGACTAAAGAATGTGAAATGCAATCAGAGAAAGTATTGATAGGATGTAAAAGCGAATTGAGGTGAGGAAAGGAGCAAAAAAAAAAGAAAAACAATTTTCTTTTCTAATATTTAGCCATCCTTGAACCCGAAATAAATTCAATGAACGAACGAAAAGGAAGATCGCTTCAAGAAGTTCGCATTTACCTTTCATCCAAAATGACGCACTACTCAAAAGTTAATAACCGTTGTACGATAAGAGTGAATGACCTCATACAAATTTATGTACATATATCTACAAAAAACTATTCAACAAATTTCTTTCAATTTTCCTTCATCTCATTCCATTTCGTTTAATTTTCATCGTTCATCAACACCATGCGATCCTTTCTTTTTCACTGATCATTTCTAGCATTCACACAGCCAATTCTCAAATGCTACACTAACAACTAGCAAGATCCAATCGTGATTCGTTTAAAATCACATCAAACTGATTCTATCGAATTTATAACTTGTCATAACTTTTCATCTTACAATTAGTGAACTTCATTGTATCAGCATGAATCGTGCAACATCTTACAATTTAGTCAAAAAATGAAAAGTTATTTGAATAAAAAGTTACTGCGAATGAAGGAAACGTCTGTTTACGAAAATGGTAATGCAGTTTATCTGAATCTAACATCTAAACCATATGTTTATGCGTCCGAATACATCACTTTCGTGTTGTTCAATCATTGTTACTGAATTCCCAATTTACTTCATAGCTTATCTTTTTCATTTCTGAGCCTCACTTGCTTGAAAAAATTAATGATATTTTTATGAATGAAAATTTCTCGTCTGACTTTTATTCTTTTCAGCACGTTTCGGCCACTTGCCTGAGTGTTTTGCCCTACTCTCAATGAAAATGATAAACTGGCTTTAAAATTATTTCAAAACATTGAAGCATTATTTCATGTACACCTTAGTAGAGATGCTATAACTGGTAAAAAAGGTGTATTGCGTTGATAACACTTTCGCGATAAGGACAACTGAGTGGCTGAAGTTCGATGCAGTTATATTTGAAGATACAGTTTGGTTCTGGTGAATCTACCATTGGGGTTGATCGGCAGTAAAAATTGAAAGAAAAGCATTTAGAAAACAAAAAACAGCAGCCAATTATGTAAGGTTATCATTTTGAAAATGTTTAGGACGCAGGACAACATCAATAGGTGCATTTTTGATGCTTAGCGACGAATAAATTTCCACGGAAACGTGGAGTCATCGGTCAAAAATAAGACGCTCCTCATCGCAATTGCTTAGACCAGTATATCTCTTAAGGGGAAATTCCCATTGGAGGGTATTCAAGGCTAATTGAGGAGGTTAAATAATTATTGGTGATCAATTTTTTTCATAATTGTTTCCTAAATTCTTCTTTGGACACAAAGAAGTAATCCATTCGATACCGCCGACAAATTCTGGGTAGCAAAATTCTTAGTCAATAGATCAATTCCCTGATTTTCTTCCCATTTTTTACTAGAATGTAATACTATCGTCTAAGGGAAAATTGTGGTTACGCAGAGGAGGAATTGTGATCTGTCATACCACTAAAGGAATAGACGGAGCGCAAAAGCGTGAGAAGCACCGGTAAATACGAATCGATACAATGAAGCAGAAAAGTCACCTGATAGGGTGAATAATTGAGAATCCAATCTTATCGATGACACTGGATTGTGCAGGTGCCCTGAGTGAGACCATTTTTGTGTATGCTTCATCGCTTATGATGGACTCTCTCTGTGTGAAAGCATTGTGATGAACGATTGCAGAAGGATGCACTTTTTCGTAAAATACTCTTTCAGAGGATAAGTGGTATTGATACCACGGCGGGTGGTCTGGGCTTCCTCAAAACCTCAAGCCAAGGAGAGTTGAGGTGATTGCGCTGTAATGAACACATACCACGGCTACAACTCATCAACACAGCAATAACAAATCCGAGCAAAATGAGTTCAATACGAGAAATGTTAATTGTGAAGGCGAAATGTTTATGTGTAGGTAAGATATGTGGATAATATGCATAAATGTGTGCATATGATCAGAGAATAGATTGGATGCTTTGGATAGATGAAAATAACAACGAGATGAGAATATGAAACAGTTACTGGAAATGAAAACCAGCAAATGAGTGTTGTTTTGCTTCATCTTCTGCTTCAGTTGTGCGATGAATGGGGCTGAAGATATTCGGGATGTTATTGTGTAGGTGTGTAAGCGATATTCTACATTACACAGTTATGCACACCCATACAATGTAGCAGTTGTGCTGCTTTTGATAGCCTTAGGCCGTTCAACATCGCCGTAGGCGTAGCCACACATCTGTGAGCTTCAAAGAGAAGAGGAATACAAAATACACTCATATTCACCAATAGACCCATCTTGCGCCACTCTCAACTCGCGACTTTCAACCAACATGGTGAGTGATGTTGTTTCTGCTCCAGTTCTAAATTATTTCAACTATTCCCATCAATATTGACTATTTACATATAACTTTAAGCTTGTCTTTTAATGCAGGATCAGTCCAACTTATAATAGTTTACTCTATAATCAAAGACAGATGTATCCTCTATTGGGATCTCAACTAAATAAGACTTCGTAAAGACTCGTTTACTTCCAACCAAAAATCGCTTTTGTTACAACTTTTAACTTATGAATAAATCCGTTCTAAAATTCCGCATTTTGCTTGGTGCATTCCATGATCACTGCATGAATGTCAAAGGATCACTAGATTGCATACCCTTTTGTAATACTGCTCAAATAATATCATAGATTTTCATTCACATCTTTATGCGTCATGAACCATCAAGATAATCCATTTAATACCGAGACGTCTGGATGTGGTTAATGAAAACTTTCAGGCAGAAGACATTGAAGAGATTCTCGCTGAAATCGATGGATCACAAATTGAAGGTAAAAGTTTAAGTTCATTTTATCACGTTCAATAACAGCATTCAATGTGTTGCTGCATTCATAATTCGCCTTTTCAAGCACTCCTTTATGCAACTGAATTGCAAACCTTGACATGAAGCATCAGAAAGAGAAATTACACTTACTAATCAACTTCGTTGAATGCATTAGTCATCTGCAAGTGACTTCTTTGAATTGCCAAATGAGCTAACGATTTTTCTGATTCCAGAATATCAGAAATTTTTTGATATGTTCGATCGTGGCAAACAGGGCTACATAATGGCCACACAGATTGGACAAATTATGCACGCAATGGAACAAGATTTCGATGAGAAACAACTGCGTAAATTGATCCGTAAATTTGATGCCGATGGTTCGGGTAAGCTAGAGTTCGATGAGTTTTGCGCACTTGTTTACACAGTCGCAAATACCGTTGATAAGGAAACTCTTCAAAAAGAACTTCGTGAGGCATTCCGACTCTTCGACAAAGAGGTTGGTATTCGTTTTGTTCTATCAATTGTCAATTATTTCTCTCGTTGATACAGGTTTGCTTAAATGAGATTCGCATGATGCATTTTATGAGTGACCGTGAATGATTTGAGACAAAAAATTGTTACAGATAATTTTTTATGCATGATGCTTGTCATATCTGAGCAAACACACATTTCAACTGAACAGGTGCTCATGTGAAGATGTCATATGATGATTAGTTAAGATATATAACAACGTTAACAGCAGTGTAGCTTCTTTGTATAGCACACAAGTTGTTCCAAGAGAAGATGTGATCATCGCTCACTTCAACAAAAATGAGAACTGAAGTAAATAATAATGCAATTGCACTATCAATCTGTTCAAAAGTGTTCAAGAAGCAAAACAAAACTCTAACTGAAACGAGTATAATTTTAGTTCAAAAACCAAGAACTAACTTAATTGAATTGAGCGTTAATATTTGCTAATGATCGAATAGCCAAGCAAAGCAGTAGTTCTTAGTAAAGTTACAAATAGTAGAAGATAGTGATGGTATGCTCATCAAAATTTCAGGGCAACGGTTACATTTCTCGGCCAACACTGAAAGCTTTACTGAAGGAGATCGCCGACGATCTCAGTGACGATCAACTGGAAGCAGCCGTCGATGAAATCGATGAAGATGGTTCGGGAAAGATTGAATTTGAAGGTGAATTATTCAATGTTAACATTCCCATTTATCTTCGTAGATCTTTTCTTCAGCACTTCAGCTGAAAATATGACAATATCGGTAATGCATTTACAGAACTACTAAAGAAATAAAATTGTGGTATATATCTTAATGAGGACCGAGAAACAAACATTGCCTAATGCCAATTGCATAATGATCCATTTTTGAAATGCAATGTAAGGAACAATGAATGGAAAGGAATCATTATTTGCTGTTGCTATTTCACAAAATGAATGAAATCCGTTTTCAGAATTTTGGGAGTTGATGGCTGGAGAAGCGGACTGATCGTTTATCTTAAATCATCATTCTCTTCAATTATTTCTTTTTATTCTACTCGGCTATTACCAACTATTGTTCAAAAGAACCATTATATGAATGGCATTATCATATTTTTTATGATTATGCTTATTCGTAGCAAAAATGAATATTTAATAAATCAACTATATTTTATGTAATAATCAAAGTGATGTGTTTATAACAGTCAAATAAATAAACGTACATTGTTTCGGAGGTATTCACAACTTCACACACATTCTGAAATAGATTTGAATGGTCTGATATAAATTATCGAAATTCAACCGGTATTGCTCTAACCTTATTGAGAATGAGCATCGAATTCTCATAATCTTCAGAAAAACGAAACGTTCACCAATTAGTCTTTCCAAACAATTTTACGATGTGCTAAACATGACGGATAAGAAAGTTTCAAATAAGTCATTCATTTTTTAAACTGGATGCAAGTCTTCATTCGAGCAAGAAGTGATGCTACCACTGATCCATTGAGTTGCAAATGTAAATTGCTTCTTATAAGCACCATTTTTCCTTTCAAAATCCCTTTGTTGCAGATATCTCGCTATTTTCCTTTCAGTGGTGTCGCTTTATAGAAAGACTTTTGAGACTTGATTAAGATGAAGTCTCAAAAGTCTTTGTAAAAACATCTCAGATTAAAATCGTGAAAAAATGCTATCATTGGTATCAGATGCACATCCGCGTGCCTTTATTGAATACGGAAATCGTTTTTTTTTTCTAGAGTTATGCATGTACAAATCAGCACATGATGTTCTCATGTAAGGCTGCCGTCACTTATGAGTATTTACCCTCAGACAGCTCAATAGTCAATAGCTACATTTCTTTTGTGGCACTGCTTCAGAATAGCCTGTGATGTAACAGGAAATCCGATCAACTCATCCAAGGAATGTCAATACTGTGCAGCTGTACCTCCACTAAATGGAATGTTTTCGTAGCAAGATAAATTTCATATGATTCACTGACTTCAACCCTCCTAGCAATGCGACTAAGTGGAGAAAAGTATTCTTTTACTAACCAATAAATTTTTTAAATGTACATCTAGGGCTGCAACTTATGAATATATTCGCGACAAAGTTACATATTGTCCACCTTCTATGGTATCACAGACACATTTAAACAGTTCAATCACCGCAAGAAGACTTCTGTAAAAGCCGTTGTGCTCAGTTACCGATTCCCATGACAATTCTTGGACAACCTGCAACAGTATTTTTTAGCAATCGTAGAAAACGATGCACTTCCAGAAATCGTCGCTACGTTAAAAATTAAATATGAAACGCTAACTTCACCCTCAAATAGACTTACCTCTTCAACACTTTTGCTGATATCAAGGTATCGTCGCAACACGATTGCTAGACTGTTCCATCTCGTTTTTGCTGGTAGTAGCAGCGTGAGTCCTGCTTTTTTAAACAGTCGCATTGATGCAACAGTGCTTCTTCGAAACTTACTGATCAATGAATTGAGCATATCGCTTTTATCAATATTTGAATTAACCAAATTTCCGTTGACGTCTACAGCCAAGGTATTTGATGCGCAAAACAAGGCATTCGTTTCGGAAATCATAGTTGGATTATATTGTCGGGTGCATCACATTCTTCCGATTCTACCTCTAAATTGTCGTCACAAAACGCAGGGTCATTCCCTTCCACATCTTCACTTTCATTATTTTCATTCGATAAATCCACCACTATTTCGTCAACATCATCCTTGCAGGCATTCACCATACTACTAGCACCATCTGATACGACTCTGTAGATATCTTCTTCCATCAGCCCAACCGATTGCAAAATCTCGATATATCCTTCTTTTATCTCCTTGCCTGAATGCTTGTCATTGAAAAGTTTAAGGCGCAAAAAAGCATTTCGCAATTTTCCTTTCCCTTCGTCTATGAAATGTGCCGTAACGCCCAAATAAGATTCTCTGGCTGATCAACTGTACAAGACGCACCACGCGATGATTTCACTGCATCTCTTATAATACGCATGATTCTTTTGTTACGCTCATTCAACATTGTGTACAGTTTGCTTGGACAGTTGGGATATGAATATTTAAGGTCCATCTTGGATTGAAATTCAGGAGAGACGCAGATAGAAAGCGACATGGTTGGTAGCGTCACCACCTTCATGAGTGCTAAATCGATCTCTCGAGCTTTAACACTACCTCCCGAATAGTTCGTCGTCCCACTTTTCCATGCTCGCTCCACTCCAACGTCATTTCACCTTTACTTTTTTGATTTTGTTGCTTTACCAACTTGATTTTCTCAATTTTCCCCTCTACATTTTTGAAGTCCACTTTATGTTGTGTTTTCAGGTGTTTCATGGCGTTCGTTGTGTTGAGTGGTGTCGAAAATTTCTTCCCATTGCATTTTGAACAAGAAAAACCGCCACCTGCGGTCAAAACGAAGTGGTCCCAAACTGGTTGAGATGGGTTTCCTTTTTTTATTACTCCTCACCGGACTGCTGTCTTCTTCATCGCGAACCTATAAATTAAACCTGTAGATGACGGTAAAGCCCAGTTCATCAGAAACTGAGCACTTACTGGGATTTGGACTGAGACTTAGATACGAGATGGAGACCCAGATGGAGATTTTGCTATAGGCTCAGACTGAAATTTGGGCTTGCGATCGCACTAGGTGCACATCAAAATATTTTTACCTACGTTTACTGCAGTTTCAAATGCGATAAATAGCTGCAATAGAACAGTTCTATACAAACGCAAACTGTCGTGCTAACCTCACTTCTTCACTTTCTTTTTCTTGATCGACCACAACAAGTTCTGATGACATCTGAAATAGTGCAGTGTATATAATGGGTATTACCATGGATATTGCAGAAGCGATACATATGAATTATTTACCATATCATATAAGGATGCTAATCCAAGGAAATCATTGTATGAATAAAAAGATTAGCGCCACTAATCGCTAGCAGACAGTATCCTAACTAATTATGTTCATATTGTTATGAATTATGACCAGTGATGGGCAAGCTATCGAAAACCGATAGTGCGCTTTCATCTCAAATTGGTATTAATAAAAAAAAATCGAAGTGTCAATTCCGTCGGATCCCGACTGATCCATTCCGACAGTCAGTCAGCATTCGGACTGTCGGAAACATCAGGTCGGTTGGATTCCGACCGACATGAAATTTCGCTCGGATGCCATTTGTTTTATAATTATTTGAGTGAACTGTATGGTCGACGCATTGACAGGGCATAATTTTGATATATCAATAATGATCCCAAACACACTTTTGAAGAAATATATTCTAATGTTTTGGAGAATATTAGGGACAGTACCAATCAAAGAAATAATTTCGGAGAATTCAACATTTTCCTCAGCAATACTTGCAACATAAATCCGAAAATGAGTTGTATCATGAGAAACACGACGTAAGCATGCCACACATTAGAAAATCGTTGCACTCGATTAGACAAAACCTGTTCTGTGTATTGCTTTGCGACATTTATATGTACACATTTCGTTTCCGAAGAAATCAGTGGTTGTTTTTGCATCGCTTAATTCAAAATTTACTGTCAATCAATTCGCGCAATACGTTCACCTAAACGGATTCACCTGTTCGCATTCATTCACTTTTCCTTAACAATTTGCTTCATCATAATTATTCATCAAAAATTTTTCTTTCATTTGAATATTTTGTTTGCTTCGATTGTGCTTTCCGCAATATTCACCCGACGAGCATGTTCACCCTAAGAGCACATGGTATATCTCCCAAGCTACTTTTTTAATTAGGTGCCCTCTGATTTTTCAAGCCAATCCTTACTAGCATTTATTTGTCGATTGCTTGAAAACAGTAATATGATGTTTATCATTGTGAATGGAATTATCTGACAGGGAATAAAATGTTATTTGAGAATCACTTTTAGTGCTTTATTCCATCGTTGCTTGAATTTTCTCGAACCAAAACGTGTGACAATTGCCGTTTCCGTTGACCATGGATATGTGAACAATAAACAATAGTGCGGTCAAATTCAGTGCACAAGATGACATGATATGTCACTTTTTCAGTGAACGTCTTTTGAGTTATCTCTTCACGAATGCATCCATCCATATCTACATATAAAAACATGCGCTCTTCGCATTATGATCGTATAATTTGTTTATAACATCGCTAACTAAACGTATTTACTTACTTGCAATTTCGCGTTTCACCATGTTTACGAACCCAAAACCTTTTTCATCAACTCATATATATATA